CGCCATAAACACAAAAAAAAAAAAGGAACTACAGATTTTACTACAAACTATTTGAATAATCAGTTTGTAACTGAGCTCTATTTTTTTTCTAACTGAGCTCTGATCTATTGGGCTGTTGGGAAAAATCTGTAAAATCACCAAATAAGCACAAAAGAAAAAGGACTCAAATTTTATTACAAACTGCTTAAATAATCAGTTTGTAACTGAGCTCTATTTTTGTTTTTGTAACTGAGCTCTAATCTATTGGGCTGTTGTGAAAAATCTGTAAAATCGCCAAATAACCACAAAAAAAAGACTCAGATTTTATTACAAACTGTTTGAATAATCAGTTTGTAACTGAGCTCTATTTTTTTTTGTAACTGAGCTCTGATTTATTGGGCTGTTGCAAAAAATCTGTAAAATCAGCAATAAAAGGTATGCTATTGACTCTGATTTTATTAAGTAAAACACATCGATACTATTCGCTGTGGTTAGGGCAGTCGGGGGCAAATACCTCGAGAAAGATGAAGAACACAGATCAGAGCTCAATAGGAAGGATCAGAACTCAAAGAAGAGATAAAGAGAGAAAGATGAAGAAAATCAGACTCAATAGCATACCTCAAGATCAATAACACAGAGAGAATAAGAGCGCTTTGCTTCAAGAGCTCAAGAACAAACACAGATATCAATAACACAGAGAGAATAAGTGTCAATAGCATACCTCAATATCAATAGCAAGGATCAGAGCTCAAGAGAGTAAACCCTAGCTAGGGCTGCGTGTGAAGAGAGGAGTCTGCCTGAGATAGTGGCGTGCTGCGAAGGGAGGGTGGCTCAGCGGCTGAAGATTGGAAGGAAACGAAGTTCCAATTTTAAGTTCCGACATGTACTTTTTTTTACACGCGAGATCATACTCCGCAAGTCGGGACTTTCAATAAATCGGCTTCCTTAAAAATCACAAAAAAAATCGTTTTTATTTAAAAAAGACGGATAAAAAAATAGGATCAATAATATAGATATACCGGACTAGGTTCAAAAAAAATCGGGGTAAAAAAAATCAGATAAATTAAAATATTATAATTTTTAAATTTTAAAAAATTAAAAATTATGTGAAAATTTAAATACTCTTATAAATATCAAACCTACTAGAATACATATTAAAAATAACTATTGCATGGTCTCGCCCTAAAAAAAGAGATTAAATTCAAATAAAGTGGAAAAAAACTCCGGAGAGGGTTTAAACACGGGGTTTTGTGTTCCTCTAAAATAACTACAAACCTTCTCTTTCTCTGTCCCCTTCCCACTCCATTTTATTTCACAGCTAGACGATGCTCTCTCTCTCTTTCTGGTTTTTTGGAGTTGATTTGAGTCATCATTATTGGGTTCATATGAAAAGTTGGTTAAAACCTTAGTTCTGCTCCATTTCTCCATAAGACATTAATGTGCTGTTATTTTGAGCCTATTTAACCTTAAAAGTTAATTTTATGTCATTCCCAACTCTCTCTCTCTCTCGAACCTATTTTATACATTAGCAGATGTCCCATTTGTTCATTGTTGAATCTCTTTTCTCGCTTTCTCTCTCCTACATGTGCTACACAAATTCAAACAGAGGCAAAACCAAATTCAATGTGGTTCCAACCCTTCTGTTCACTGCTTATAGTTTTTATTGAGTAGATATTCTCTCTCTCACTGACGGCCGTTGAAGATGAGGCAATGGAAGCATTGAAATCATGCTGCACAAAAGTTTTTGCAGGGCAAAAGAAACACTCCAACAAAATTTGAAAAGGTAGAAGAAATCACTCGCCTGTAAATAAGAACACTAAACAACAAAATTTGGATGCTCAATGTAACAATCCTAAAATTTCAAAAAAAAAAAAAATGGAAACTTTTAATAAGTGATGGTCCATATGAACATGAATTTTAGGCGTGATGAATTTTATGAGCAAGCGATCTCATTATTTTGAAAAATAATCTTTTTAATAAAATTGTGATATTTTATCTATGTTAGAAATTTTAAATGCTGTAAATTCTTAGAAATAAATTTATTTTTCTTGTCTGTTGTTAGAGAATTTTAGATACTGTAAAATTATTAAAAATAAATGTGATATTTCTGCTTTTAGTAAAATTGTGAGATTTCTTTATACTGTTTTTGAATATTTAGACATTGTAAATTTCATGTGCAAATGACTACCTTATTATTTGAAAACTGATATTTTTGCAATTGATTATAGCATTGTCAGTGAATTGTTTATTGAGAATTAACATCCTATAAATTGTGATAATTCCGTATTCTTGAATTTCTATAAGAGTTTTCTTTTATATATATTAGATTGGCAATTATGCTATAATGTCTTTACGAACTGCTACCTTTCTAAATCTGAGCCCAAAATATTTGATTGGTTATTTTTGAAATGTTATTGAAAGTGACGGTTATTAATGGTTTCAGTGAAATTCATATTAATAATTCCAGTGATATGTTGAGTACATGATATTGCTGCTTTCGAATGTTTAAAGTGATTTAAAAATACTTTAAGTATACAAGTGGGCTCATTCGGTTCGCCGGTGAGGTATAAGTGGACCTATCTGATACGCCGGTTATGATTAAGTGGACTCATCCGGTACGCCGGTGAGGTATAAGTGGATCAGCAGAGGTTAAGTGGACCTATCTGGGACGCCGATAGGGATTAAGTATATTCATCAGGACACT